AGTAGGTCTACATTTAAAATTTTTCATTAAAGATTTAATTCCTAGTCATTTTAGTATAATCTTCTCTCTTAAATGTTTTTAAAAATAGTTTTGAAAGAATTTTGCTTTTACCTTAATGTTTTTATGTCCTTTTAACCTTAGTACTGTTGGAAGAGAAAATAGAACTAAATGTACTTATACACTTTTTAAGAAAAGCAAAAGCAAACTTTTACTGCTTTTGTGTCTTACCTGCCCATTTTTATGTGATGCAACCTAGTCTTAGGCTCCCAATAAAAATGGAGGGTTAAAATATAATAACACCCATGAATGAATGATAGTTAAATTCAGATAAAAGTATTTTAAATGTATTTTTCTTTTTTCTCATTTTAAAATATATGTTTAAAACAACTGAATATAATACTGGCCTATTAAGAATTAAAACATTGATTTATGTTCAGTGTAGTGTATTAATTTAAGAGATGGATTATATACAACCATGTTTTTCTCAAGGAAAGACTGGTGAGCAGCAGTCGTCCAGCCTTACTTTGTTTTGAATGACCACTTAGGAATGTTAGACTGGGTTATTTTGAGAAGGGGGATTCAGATGGTAGGTTCTGGAGTAAAGCCACATGAACCCACCTCTGCCTTTCAGCAGTACACTTCTGTGGCAGTGTTGTGAAGGAGAGGCAGAGTTAAGTCATGTGACACTCAGCATAATGACAATCACATAATGCTCTTAGTATATGTTAACTTAATCCCTGGCCATTTTATAATATTCTTTTCTCTTGTGTTTTTTGTTTAATAGTTTGAAAGAGTTTTGTTTTTACTTCAACCTTTTTATGTACATTTAACCTTAGTACTGTTGGGAGAGAGACTAGAACTAAAAATGTACTTATACATTTTTGTCAGTCCAGGGGCTTGGGCACTGTCCCTGAGCTTTTGATCCAGGCTAGCACTCTACCACTTGAGCTACAGTGCCACTTCTGGCCTTTTCTGTTTAGGTGGTACTAAGGAATTGAATCCAGGGCTTCATACATGCTAGGTAAGCACTGTACCACTAAGCCACATTCCCAGCCCTGTACTAATCTCTTAAGGAAAGCAAAAGCAAACTTACAATGCTTTTTAGTGTGTACCATGCTTCTTTTGATCTTACCTTAAGAAACACCAGAAATATGAAAATAATTATCCAGAGAAAGACACTACTGGTACTCAATCTGTAATAAAACATTGACAAGAAAGCAAGTAGCAACTATCCATTGTTTAAACACATTGAGTTCCTTCCAACTTCTAGTTGATTCTGAGAACCTGTGAGTAGAGGAATGGAGGCGAGGAGGTGGATGGACAGGGCAGGAGGAAACTCCATTTAAGGAATCTGGAAGCAGGTTGGATGGTAGGGCTCCAAATGAATACAGGTACATCATTTTAGCATGACAGAGAAAAATGGTCCTGATACAGAATGCATATGCTTCGCCCTGGCTGAATGGCATAAAAATGCAGAGAGTGGTTGGTTCTCATTCAACATTTCCTAAGAATCTACTAAGTGCCAGGGGAGACTGGGAAATGTTGAATGAGAACAGACCAGGTCTTTGTCTTTTGATACAGTGCAAAACCTAGTGAAGTACTGAGAAGGAGGAGGGAACACAAAGATATGGACTTGAGACTTGAAAAGCTCATAGCCTCATGGGAAAGAGACCAGGACATGGGTAAACAGAATACAGTGTAAGAGACTGTTATCGAGGGGACAGAATCTAACTGGATGCAGGGGAACTGGGAAGTTTCACACGGAGAACATAAGAAAGTACCATTTGGCAGGAAGGGAGAGAACTCTACAAAGCTGCCTCTGCAGGCAGGATTGAAGGAGCATGTCTATTGTGGATGGAGAATCCAGTGTTTGCTCATCTGATGCTTTGGATATGATTAAGAAAGCCTATTTCTGCTATTTTTTAGAAATCGTGATAGATGAGCTCTTTGGACAATGTGTGTGTATACATATAAGTAGTGGATTACCTACAAAACTTCTTATGACCGCTATTGTGATTATTTGTAATCAGTTTTTTTTGAGAGTCAAAGGAAGCTATATTTTATTGAAATTGGAAAGCAGTAGATTTTAGAAGTACTATATCCTCAGAATCATATCTAATAGAGAAAAAATAGTTTTTCATTTCACTTTAAACATTTATGAGCTTTATTCTTAAAATGTCAGCCTCTTTGCCTCTTACTTAGCTTTCAATACTTTTCCTTATTAGTATATATTTTATTAAGTGCTGAGAGTATTTCTATGGGTTACCAGTTCTTTACAAACATGAATTTGGAAGTGGAGCTGTGGCTTAAGTAGTATAGTGCTACCCTTGAGAGAAAAAGCCAAAAGTGAGGCCCTCAGTTCAAGCCCATACTGACATAAAAAATGAGAAAGAATATCAATTTAACTGAAGTTCATGGGTTACTGTTTATTCTCATGGAATCTTGGAGTAGAAAAAGTTTTGAAGCACACTGTTCTAGCTTTACACTTAATACTAGACTTTATTTTTTTTTGTCCATCATGAGGCTTGAACTCATGGCCTGGACACTGTCCCTGAGCTCTTTTGCTTAAGGCTAGTGTTGTACCACTTTGAGCCACAGCTCCACTTTCAGTTTTGAGTGGTTAATTGGACATAAGAATGTCATGGGGATCTTTCTGCCTGGGGCTGGCTTTGAACTATGATCCTCAGATCTCAGCCTCCTGAGAAGCTATGATTACAGCTGGAAGCCATTGGGGCCTGGCTCAGATTTTTTTTAATCTATTTTAAACATATGATCAGGAAAAAAGATGAATATATGAGGTCAATAGTAAAGAGTTTATCAAGGCAGGCAGAGCTCTCTTTCTGCGTATGTCTAAGCTTGAGAAAGACCTTTCTTTTTACCTACTTTCCTGGGGATTGTGATCACTGTTCTCATTGTTGCACTCAGAAAACTAAGTAAATGTAATTCTGCTTTGCCCCAATGATCCACTGAATACGTCAGGATTGATATATCTTCTTTCTGTGCCCTTTTAACATGGATCTCAAAGATGTAAGACACACAGCTGGTGTTTTCAGTGTGAGGTTGTTAGATTCTTGAGCTTCTTGCTCTTCTCTGAAATAAAGCAGCTTTGAAACACTAGTGTGTGTGTGTTCACATTAGCAAGTTATTGTTTTATTTAAATTTGGGAAAAGTGGAGTGATAGGCAATTATTTTTAATTGGAATTCTGGTATATCAGACATAATAGTAGGTATGCCTAGCCCCAAAGAACTCAGTAACAGGGAATCAGGGCTTACGGTGAGCTAGAGTTGCAATCAAATTCCTTTTATTATTTTTACTTTGTGTGTGTGTGTGTGCCAGTACTGGGACTTGAACTCAAGACATCATACTCTTACTTGTCTTTATCTCTCAAAGCTGGTGCTCTACCATCTGAACCACACTTCCACTTCTGGCTTTCTGCTGGTTAATTGGAGATGTGTGTCTCAAAGGATTTGCTTATGGAAACTGGTTTAAACTGGGATCTTCTGATCACAGTTTTCAGAGGAGCTACGATTACCGGCACGAGCTACCAGCATTTCTCAGCAATCACATTCTTCTCCAAGTACTTAAAACTTGCCATTATCAGTTAAACACTTTTGAACGTTGCTTAAACAATGTGCTGCATCACTATTAGCTGAAACTCCAAATCTTAAATTGGGTAAAGTATGAAATGCTGTGGAATGCGCCTTCATCTTTGATCATTTTCTCCAGGTTTTGCTGATGAGCCAGATCAGGCTGACACATGCTCATTTTCTGAGTTACTAGTTTTTTTCAACTAAATAATGGTAGGGGAAAAACAAAGGAGGAGGCAACAATGCTTGATAAGAAATGTACTCATTACCTTGCTCATGTAACTGTAACCCACCTGTCCAGTATTTTCACCAGATGCCCCTCAGTAGATGAATGGATCAAGAAAATGTGGTATATATACACAATGGAATTCTATGCCTCCATCAGAAAGAATGACATTGCCCCATTTGTTAGGAAATGGAAAGACTTGGAAAAAATTATATTAAGTGAAGTAAGCCAGGCCCAAAGAAACATGGTTTCCCTATTTGCAATAACTAGTATATGTCTGAGACAAGTAGAAAAAGTCAGATAAGTTGATGTTAGGTGAAATGAACCCTAAGATATGTATTCAAATGTTTTTTTTCTTTCATGCATAACGCATTTATGAGATTATTTCTTTGTTGCTTTGTATGTCCCTCCCCCACAATATAACCCATGCTTTCACTGTATTTGATGTCGGTATAATTTGTGGAGGGGAAGGGGAGAAACAAGTCGTTTAAATAAGGGTACAGGTGGACCTGTTGCAACAATGAGAAGTACATGTTGTCATGTCAAAAACGAACTTTACAACTTTGGTGGGGGGGGGGAGGATTAGGTGGGAGCAGGGTGAGGCTGGGAAGGGATGGGAAGGGGAAACAAAGGAGGAGGTTACAATGCTTGTTTAGAAATGTACTTATTATCTTGCCCACCTAATTGTAGCCCCTCTGTACAGTATTTTCACAATAAAAAATAAAAATTAAAAAAACTTATAAAAAATGGGTAACAAACTGAAATTTCCATTTCCCTAAACTTGACTGAAAATCTAGAGCATTTTAGACTGTCTATGAATTATTGTGAAGCACCACTTAGTGTAGAATTTTTCTGCTGTCTCTTGAAGCTGCCTGACAGACAGACTGGAGTCTCAGTGATGGAAATTTTCATCAGTTTGCATATTCTGGTTGACTGCCACTGCAGGGGATTCATGTGTAAGAGTTCAAGGCCAATAATCATCATCTGTCTAAGCATAATGGAAAATTGCATGAAAGATTCATATAACAAAAGGTGTAACCAACTTTGGATTTGTAATGCTTGAGTTCGCTTGAATGTCATTTTATTCTTTCTTCAAATGCAGGATGAGGCATGACACTACCAAATCGCAGACTCCTGGGTACGTATTTTCTGCGTAACATGAGCTTTGTTTCTGTTTTCTCTAAAGGCGTTTAAACAGAAATCACCTTCAGCTGTTTCCTGAGTTGTTGTTTCTTGGGACATCGAAGCTATACAGGCTGTAAGTAGACACAAATTGTTATTGTTACTTTGGGGAGGACCTTGTGTTTTATTAAATGTATTTTGGATCTGTTTCCTTGAGCTTTCTTGGAATTTATTGGCTAGTGGATTACTAGATTAAAAATTTGTCTTATTTTCTGAAGTAAATTTATGATTGCTTCTATGTGGTTCCAACATGGCTTCATTTGGTTTATTATTTCATGGCTCATGTATGCGTTATTGCTTTTGGGTCATTTATTTTGTGTTGCATGGTGATGGAGAGATTTGCATATTTCTTATTGGAGACTTTTTGATTGAATTCGAAAGAGAAAACTTGGTGCGATGCTTCCTCTGAGGAGGACGTTGGCAGGCTTTCCTTGCAAAGTTGGAGCTTCTCACTATCAGCCTTTTTTGGTATTGTTTCTGTGCTCAAGGAGTAGTGTTTATTAGTGTGAAAATATTATTATAAGGTAAAGAGTGCTGTAAATTCCCCCTTAAGTGTTTCTTTCAAAGCCAGAATCCCGGCCCGTGCCACAGGAATGACCAGCAGGAAAGGTTTTCCTATCAAATACGTCATAGACTGTTAAAGGAAGTTGTTCCATAAAGGAGCATAATACGAGTCTGAGGTGGAAACAGATTTTCCTAATTGGAATGAATGCTTGCTCAATGACCTAATGTATTCTAGTGAAAACACATTTTCTAAAGCTTTTAAAATTAGATGATCAGCCTTTGAATGATTTTGCACCAATGAGAGATAAGCTACAAAATGTTAGAAGAGTAAAGAGCAATGGCTATTGATGTTCTTGTATGTCGTGGCAAAAACAAAAACCTGCGGGAATAAATGAATTGTTCAGAGTGGTCCCACCTGGGAAGTCCCAGATGGTAGTGTTTGCAGAGAACGTGAGACTATTGCTTTTTCTCCAAATCTGACTTTGTAGCCTCTAAGTTCATGCCAGAAGTAAGAGGACCTTCCTCACACACATATCTACTAAAGCCAGGCTTTCTTCTCTATCCTCCTGATAGCTTAACTCACCATAGATACGATTTTCCCAGCGACATAGTACACATCTCTCTAGAGTCTGACTTTCTGAATTGCTCTTCTGAGGGTAACCAAAATCACTATGTTCATATATATATATATATATATATATATATGAGATATATTTATATACATTTGATATATATTTATACATATGTGGACACAAATGTATATATACCTCTTTTTAAAAAAACATTCTTTAGGGTATGTTTTTAATGAAGGAAATAGGATGTAGATTGCTATAAACATTGTATGTTCATGTATCAGTTGTATACACACATGTATATATATCTCTTAAGAAAGCATTCTCTAGGATATGTCTTTAATCAAGGAAATGGGATGTAGCCTGCTATAAACATTGTATGTTCATGTGTCAGCTGAAACTTAAATTTAAACATTTGTGCTTAATATTTCCAAGAAAGGTATTGGGTTGTTTTTAAATAGTACTCCATTTTCTGGTTTTGTTATTGGTGATGGAGAAGATTTCAAATGGTTGATTTCAGGCATTGAAGTGTTAAAAAGAAATACTAGCAGTGTGCATGTAAAACATGCATGGCAGTATAGGAAGTTGTTTTTAATGTACTGCAAATATGAATTGGGACAGGGCACTAACTACAATTAAAATTATTAAGCTCCAGAGGAAATGTCTGATGTAACATCAACTATGTCTTAGAGAAACAAGAATATTTAATGTTTACTTTAGAATTATGTGGATAAATTTCCCCAGCATTTATAAGGCTCTGTAATGAATTTGCAGAATTCCCCTATTAGCAAATTAGCCTGACATTTTACCCTCTTTGACAATACTGTATTAGTGGACCAAGAGATTTCTCATATTTTTTATAATTTTGTAAGTTTCTGAAACTTCTATGAAAGAGACTTGAAACTTTCAGAAGTGAGTGAAACAGAACCCGTCAAAATGTGCTTAATGCTAAAAACATCCCCTGCTTGTTATTCAACCATCAGTATAGGCTCTGGCTATGTGACTTCTTCTTGAATCCTCAAGTCAGAAACTTTCTTTTGAGTTGAGTTAATACTATCTTATTTGAATTAGATGTAGGTTAATTGTGAATCATAGTATTTCTCCTGAGAGGAAAACTTAGAAGCTCCATGTGACCACTTCTTAATGCTGAGGATTGCTAATGAAATTAAACAGCAAGCACTGAGAATCTTTAATAAGGGATAAAAGCATATAAATCTGACTACCAAGCTAGTGCAATTATGAAAAGCAAGGAGGCAGGTTCAAATATGTGTGTATGTATATTTATGTAGTACAGGTGCCTAGTAATAAATATTGAAACAAATATTATAGTAAATTTGAAAATATACCCAAAATTACATTGCAAGAGTGTCCTTTAAAATGTTCATTCAAAAATGAATCTTGTACAAGCCAGCTTTATGTGGAAGAGCAAATGATTCTGAGATTTTGACAGATAATTGAGAAGAAAATATTTGGTTGTTGTCTGTAAATATTATGGATCTTAGCTGGGCACTAGTGGCTTACACCTGTGACTCTAGATACTCAGTCAGCTGAGATTTGAGGTTCAAAGCTCAAAGTCAGCCTGGGAGGACAAGGCCTTGATATATGGGTCCAGCAAAAAGCTGGAAGTGGAGCTGTGGCTCTGGTAGAGCACCAGCCTCAGCGAAGAACATCAGATCATGAGCCCTTGAGTGTAAGCCCCAGTAGCAGTGCTCATGTGCATGCAGGAGGGCATGTACACATACACACACCCATACACGCACACATGCACCCCCAAATCCATAGTTACTCAAGCACTACATAACATAGGATGGCCATAAGAACTCATGAAAAAAATTATTTTCTTTATAAACTATTAGGCTGTTATTTTTCTTACGGTATCTTTCAACTTAATGTATTTTTCCTAATACATCACCAAGAAAAGGTTTTTTCCAGTTTCATATGTAGCTCATACCTTCGTATTTGACTTTTAACATTGTTTAGATGAAAGCTATTCCGATGAATTGGACATCACACAGATTATTTTTTGAGTTTTTGTAAGGAATAATCACCATTTGACTCTTGGCTGAAAATGAGATGCCAGGAGACTCCCAGATGCTTTCTTTTTGCAGAACCTAAATGCAATATAAAAGAAAAGAGGTATACTGTATATGAATTATGATTCGACATGGTTGATTGCAGCTAGCGGCCAAATATGCTTTCCCTGTGCTGTCTGCTCCAATTTCTCTTTGGACGGGTTGAGAGAGCATTGCATGTTCAGGTCAAGATGTTTGCTCAGAAATAGTAGTACAGTTGCAGCTGTGTTTGTTGGAGCAGGAGACTAGTTTAAATAGCATTACCATTTATCCAGTCCATTAACAGAACTGTGTAAAATAATACCAACCCTGTGTAAACTACAGGACAGTGTAATAAAATTACAAGCACTTGTTGACAGATGAAAAGTGTAAGTAAAGGGAAAGTAAAACTTAAAAAGTGATAGGTTGAAGGTTAAAAGTTAAAGGGTGAAAGGTTGTAGGCTAAAAGACACAGCACATAGTTTTCTTACCTTGTATATAAAGATTTTATCCACCTTGTTAGGTTCCTTTTCCAAAACCAAAGATGCATTTTTTAGGATCAATCTAAAAGTGAAGAGAATTATTTTCAGGACAATCTGGAGCTGTTTAACTGCAAAAGAGATTGGAATACATTTTGAAATCGTTGGCTTTGATGTGTCAAAACTGATGATTAGTATATGCAAATCTTTTAGATAAACACAACCTTAAAGGTGGCTTATGAGTGTGTGATTCACAGTTTCCTATTCTGAGTTTGCAACTACAAATCTTGACACATTAGAGAGGAATTTCATTGATAATACTGTGGTTAGGTCTTTGGTTGTAAATATTTGGTTTGTGGTTTTTGGTTTATTTCTTTGATTATTATTATATTTACTCAGAGTTCTAACATAAACTAGACCGTCCACAGCATTTTGCACAAACAGTATTTTTACTTGCATCTACCAAGCCAAAGACAAAACTAAAACACCTCCTCCTCCCTTCCCCCCATCCTCCCCATTAACAAACTATGTCTCAGTGGCACACTTTATTTACTTCTTTGAGAACAGAGTTTTTATTTCTGGTTAAGAAGTGGTATTTATTATTCCAAGTGCATTTTAAGCTATTAAAATATCTCACTGTATGTGCAGTGGTGGGTAAAGCTTACAACTCATTTGATGACCAATCATCATATACTTACCTGAGACTAATAAGAGTTTGACGACTTAAACAGATGGGTAGATGACCACCCATTTGCTTTCAGAGAAAAATCTCAAATTGTTTCTGAAAACTATTGTAGTGGGACTTTGAAAAACAGTAAACTTAATTTTTGTTTTATTAAGGTTAAAAAAACAACAACAACAGTTACTCAAGCAGGAAAACTACACCATGAAGCTATCTTTATTTTCCCACTTCTGTAGGAGCTTAATTTTTTGTTTCTTGTTAAAGTAGTTTTAGAGAAATGCTTATTATAAAAGATTCTGAATGCTCAAAAAATAGATAAATTAATCTCATTCATTATCTTTTCACCCAGATAAAGTTACTACCATAATTGGCAATTATACATTTAGTTGTTTTTTTATAATTATGCATACCAATAATGTCCCCAGGTTCTAGTATGTAGTACCGTTTTTGGAAATGCTCAGTAATTATTTGATGTATTGGCTTATATCTCAGTTGGAGAAAGGCAATATGAATAATAGAGAGATAAAGTAAATTGCAAAGATATGTTGACTAATAAAATGTTTGACTCTATTAGGTTTTCTAAACTTTGAAATATTTCCATAGACACAGTACAGTCAAATTGATCCACATTAAAGCAAATCATGCCTTATTTTAAATACTGTAATTAAATAAACTTAACCCCCACATTTTTTACCTGTACATTGGAGAGAAAGGATTCTCATCCTCTCACATTAAACACAATATGACAGTGGAGTCTCTAGAAAAAATCCCTGTTCATTTAATTTCTG